GCAGGATTCCCGTGTGTGTGTGTGTGTGTGTGTGTGTGTGGTGTGTGGTGTGTGTGTGTATTTTAAAGCAATGCGAGAGGCTGAGACTCCTGGCCGACATCGCTCAAAATTGTCGATGTCTCCATCCCGGATTCCACGACTATTTCCTTCACAAGGGCACATCATACTCCGACTTTCCCCCATGCAACATCAGCATCGGAGGTAACGCATTCAACTCAGCCACGCAATGGGAAACTCCGCAGATGACACATTCTGTTGCATGCTCACATTTCCAGCCGACAACAAGAAATGCATAATAAGAGTGTGGAAGTTCCTCCAGAACGAGACACCGCTCTGCGGTCCTCCCTGCCAGTGAGTTTCCCTCAGTTTCTTCTCAGAAACTCTTACTTTCCATTCAATATTTTAACTTTTCTTGGTTGACGTCGGGGAGGAAATAATTCGTCTTCTGTGCGTAGGAACTGGTGCTCCTGACGCATCAATTATTTAGTCTCCAGTAAGTAAATACTGTCTGTAAGTTCTGGAATAGCTTGAATATCGCAACACTTGTGCAGCTCAATCGCAGAAAGCGTGACACCCAATCATTTTCTCTCGTGTGTACAAGGTTCTGCTTTGAAATGTTGCTTCATATGCAATTCCACTTGCTGATTTGCATTATGCTGGAGAAAATGGAAAAAAATTTGAACTTTTTCTTATCATTGTATACGAATCTTTATTTTCATACAAGCTTGAAAGATGAAGGGATTGCGAGACCCCAAAAATCACTTTCGTACTGTTCACGACCCCATGCACCTATGCGCTAAAATCGCGAAGAAAAACCTAACTTTGCATTTAGTTTGCCGGTTGGCGGCCCCAAATATTATCTTTGCGACCCCAAATGGGATCGTGACCCCTGGGTTGTCCTGCTTTAGAGCCCCACAGGAGATTACCGGAGCGTATCCCTCAGTTGTCAGTTCCTGGATTTGTGCTTGGCTACTCGTCGAACGCGCTCCACGAATCGAGAGACTCGATGTTCGGACCGGATGCGATGCGATACGCGGGCTCAGACTTCGAATTATGGATTATTCATGTAGGATAGAAGACGAGAATGAGTGACTGCGTGCTGTGACGTGAGCTCGGAAATGATTGACGGACTTTTGCTTCAAACCCAGTTCCCCAATTATGGGGGCCAGCTTCGTTATCGACAAAGCTATTCTCTTAAAAAAGCATCAGATACGTGTCACGACTGTTGATCACTCCTCACCTCAGGATTCTAGCATGAAGTAGACCGGCAGGGCAAATATGAAATGCTTATTACAACTGATATGTCTCCCCTCTTCAAGGAACGAATTCATTTTGCCTGCCTAATGACGAATGAATCATGGAATGATATACGATACACAGAATCATGAAGAGTCATAGAAGACTCCCGGGAGCAATTGGTGCCAAAAATGGCAAAGAAGCCATCGAGTATGAAAGTGTTCATTGAGAAATTCCTTGGTCTGGCAGAGCCATCTAATATTTAACGAACGGAGCCCATTGAACCTGCTCCAATATATTTTCTCCATAGCGCTAAATGGAATTGTTCCATACTGAACAAAGTTGCCTGGCGGATTATAAGGCGAGTTTTAGGGAAATGGTGACTCGTTTCATGTCATCAGCGTGAACGTTCCACAGGTGAAGTTAATTACAGTGAAACCTGCCTCAGCTTATAAGCTTGGGGCCAAACCCTGTTATAAGGTACTGAAGGTTATTAGCTACTGTAGGTTATAAGCTATGGTCATGTGGCCCAAGTTGGTACTGGACTTTTGTATAAGTTAAGGGAGTTTATAAGCTATGGCATTATAAGCTATCAGAGGTTTTACTGTATTCTAGGGAAATATTTATTAGTGTTGAAAGTTAAAATGTTCTATTTTAGAAACTATCAAATAATAAGACAACCACGTAATATTTTTAAATATAGCGAGACATTTGGAGGGGAGTACATCACGTAATTCCAAGAAGTCTGAGTGAAGGAGTGAACCTCATGTGATACGGTTTAGAATAAGGGGGGGGGGGGTTGCGTCATGGATTTTCGCTCCTTCGAGTTACATTGCATTCTTTGTGGACCATCCCACTTCATGTTGTGGACTTCACATTAATGGTATTCGCAATATCATTCTAGGGAGATCGCGTATGACGTCGCATTGTCCACTGCATCTTGGCCATCCGAGAGTTATTTTGTAAGCATTCAAAATCTGTTCGTTGCTGATTGCACTCGCTCCACTCTTGAGAGGTGATAATGAGCATGTTGGATCTCACATAGAACATGTTGTTGGAAAACGTGGCTGCCAAACTCGGATATCAGAAAGACTATCTCGTGACGCTTCGACATGATGAGGAGGAGTACTTACAGACGAAGAGAACACTCCAGAAAGAGTTGCTGAAGGTTGAGGTCTTCTTCCGGTCCCTCAATATCCAAGTCATTAAGGAACAGCCGAAATACGACGTGAGAAAAATCCTTAAGAGCGAGCGCTTCCCGGATTACTTGTGCCGATTCCAAGGCATGAAATCGTTTTGTTCGATTTCTGATAGTTGAATGGGCTGGTGAGCGACGTGGGAGGAGTCTTGGGGATCTACCTGGGGGTGTGTGTCCTGATGCTCATCGAGATTCTGGAGTTCTTCGTCTTCCTCCTCTTCGACATCTGCCGATACTGCTTCAGAGTGGAATCGGAAGGGGAGAACGACCGGGAGGAGATCGAATGGCGACCCAGGAGCACGGGGAGGGATCTGAAAGCGCGACGAGGCCGTTCGCTCTCGCCTCGGCCTGATTCCTTCAGTCGGGTCGTGGCGTCGATCCGAGGCATGGAACCCGCGGTTACTGTCCCGGTTTATCGTCAAGGGACGTCGCAGTAAAGAAACAGGAAACATGTGAAGACGAAAGTTTATTTCACTTGCACAAGCTAATGATAAAGGAGATGTCGTTGGCACACCGGACAGCTTATCTTCTTATCATGGATGACACCCGAATCTCATCAATGCCAGGAAATTTATCTATCCCAGTGTGCACATATCTCTGGAAAAGTGGAGGAATGCCGAAATCATGCTCTTGACGGTCGCAAGTTTTTATTTTTGATCCGCTGTAAAACACATAAACTATTACTATGGAACGTCTGCACGAAGCATGCAAACAAATAATGAAGTTCGCGAATAAACTATTATCCCAAAGATCCCGCATGTCGGAAGAAGACAGCTTAGCATTTCAAATTTTAAGCGTTTAACGTAGAGATAAATCACAAAATGCTGTCAATCGTGCTCAGAACAACACTATGCTCAAAACTGCGATGTGATGCAGGACATTTCTGGCCTCATATTGTTACTCTCCGTCACCATCACGTTTCATTCTCCTCCGTTAAAAATCAGGATTTGTTGGCAGGAGATGGCTTTTCCTCCCTGGTCTTGTGGCTGGGGAAGAGTAGGGTAAATGTAGCCTAAGAAAAATTTAGATTCGAGATCCGAGGTGACAGCAACTTTCTGAATTTTTAAATTCCCAAGGGAATTTAAAAAAAAGTATTCTTAATTAAAACCAACGATTGACAGCGCTGAAAAGGATCCCATCGTTCGGAAGTCTTGTATATTGAATCAATTAATAAATACGTGCATCTGCATCTTGTTTGTTGAATATATGCATATTCCGAAATATAATTGTGGATTTAAAAAATGTATTATTATTATTATTATTATCCTGCCTGTATGTGAGAATGCAATTGATACAATCGAGCCAACGCTGATCAAGTACAATTCCCAATAATTTTTTAGTTTTCCACTTCCTCCAAATGAACCTCCTTCGAGTAATCAGGATTTCTCTTTAATGTTCCATCAGCTTGGTTAGTGAGCAAACCAGCCACGAATAGGAAAAATGCATTCTCCGATGAGATAGGGGTTTGTGCGATCTCCACTCATAATATTCAGTCAAGTCCTCTCATACACAGACGATTGCGTTATTGAATTTGAAGGTTCGGGGGATAGGGGAGTTCTGAAAATTTTAAGCATATTCTGCCTCGTAATTATTTTGATAATGCCTAGGGCAGAAGGTATGCCGCGCAATCCACATCCACTTTACCGATGAGAGAAAATCTCGAACGCGAGGCTGAAGGAATTGCATCCGTGTCACATCTTAACAGGAAATACCTGGGGTGAATGTGGAAATCTGAATGGCAAAGAATGTGCAGTTCGGTATTAGACTCCCCATTGTGACGTCATTATTGATAGCACTTTCACGCGTTAGTCGTTCTGCCTTGTTCGGGCGAGGTTTGGAGGAGTCTCTTCCAGTTAGGAGTGACGGAATTTCCGTTTCGAAAATGAATGGGCACTTGTGACGGCGAAAAAATAGCAGTGAGCGATAAATCTATACTTTTTTAAAACTTTCTGATGCAAGGTGAAGAAATTAAAATATATGAAGCCTGCCTGTAAATTCCTGGGAAAATAAGTTCTTAAGGTTTGGGAAGAACAATCTTGAACAGTCACAAATCTTGAGCAATTTAGATGAATTGAAATTCATCTAAATTGCTCAAGATTTGTGATTACTGGAATAAACCTTAATTGAAAGAAAAGGTCGTTCTGGCGATGTTCACCGACGCTATGAAATTCAAAATTAAGATAGATGGAAGAGGAAGTCCACACAGCTACACAGTTGCAAATTCTCAAGATAAAATTAAGTGCATCGGTGCAACAAGTAGCTTTATGCTGTGGAAATTCAAGTGCAAACTCAAACCCATTTCTATGAAGATTCGACGAAAGAATTTTTGGGAAAAAAAATCTTTGCGTGAAAAACACCAAAATATGAATTTTATTGCGGAAAAAATCACATCAGAGGATCACATCAAGGACGAAATAAAAATCATATATAAATGTCAAAATATGGCATTTGTACAGAAAATCGTGAACATACAATCTTCCCTTATTACTTTTCTGGGACGAAGAAATCATATTTGCGCTTCTTCCTCTCAGTCTTATTTTCACGTCTCATCGCCAGCTTGCGTTTCTCAAGAGGAGGGGTAATGCCCAACGCACGAAGTGATGAAGACGGGATAGCCGAGAGGCGGATCCGCCGCTTGAACCGTCAGGTTCCGGAGGATCAGCGGCTGAGCCTGGATGGAGTAGCGTTCTTCGTCCTCGTTCGTCAGATACAGAAGTTCCAGGCCTTGATTCGCCCATAGTCCTTTGACCAGCTCTGGGTTCAGTCGTCCCACCCAGCAGTTGAGGGATCGGAGGAGCAGCAGGTGACTCGTGAAGTTTTTCTACGGAAACAGTCGGCGGTCCTTGAGGGATGTGGTCGCGACGGGCGAAGTGGTAACGGAAGACACGCACCAAATATATTTAAGTTGAACACACGGGTTTCCACGAGTATAACATCAACTCAACTCAATGAAATAACTATTGAGCCCAATATAAATATTAAAAAATTCCCGTTTAATGAATTTGGTGTCCGCCTCCCAGAAGTTTCAACGCCGAGGCATACCTTGACCGGATCGTATCCGATGGAGAAGAGATTCGGCACTTCCGTGAGCACTGCCCTCTGCCATTCCCCGTCTGTCTCCGTTCCCAGGAACCACTGCTGGTCGTATTCTTGTAAGGATTCTTCCACCGAATCACAGGTGCCACCAAGGAGGGCCGTGTCGAACGACAACTTCACTGAGTACCTATCAGAGATGGGCTGAGTTTAATATGCAAGCATTTCGCATTCTTTTCTGTGCTTCTTGTTTTGATTATCTGGAATTTAGAAAGTGCATCTCGCATCATTTTACTTGCCTTTAGAAAATATATTAATATCATAAATACTATTTCTAATACAATATACGGTTGTTTCATCACGTCTCTTAATATCAAGGAGTGCTTCAGAAACAGCGTCATTACATTAATTTCCGATGTCCCCCATAATACGGATGAGATTCATCAACTGAAGTAAATCAACTGGCAACAAGACTTGACGGCATTCGAAGTGTATTGCTTAACAAATGGCCAACGGCAGTGTTTCCAGCGTAACTGGCAGCTGATGAGGTGGTTCATCTTTGGCGACGAAATTCGCGAAACTTCTTTCCACTACTCTGATGCAAAACCCGAAGAAACCAGTACCAGCATGGGCAGAAATATAAATTACTAATCATTTTAACAGCAGCTTTTGTCCAAAGTCAATCACCATCACTTTCGAAGAAAATATTTAAAAAACATAGATTTTGCTGAACTAGAGACGAAACGTGCGTGCATTTTATAATGTATTATAATATTTTATAATGAATGCGGTGTTAATTTCGTAATTATAAACGGTGAAAATTTACAGTTCATTTTAAACGCATTTTCCCCCAATATAGTGTATTTATCAATAATTACTCCAACCCTTTACTTTGCCCATTTGTGGTGTGGCTCTGAGGAACTACATGATTTTCTCATTACTCATAAACTTATAGTCATTGACAAGTTATTTTCATCATACCTTTTATCAACATTTTTCTTCGTTCCATCTTCACTTTTAGCTAATCCTTTTTGCACGCGTATGTCAATCTTCATAAACGTGTTATCTTAGTTCATTGTCATAAGTTCATTGCCATACGTTCATTGTCATAAGTTCATTGTCATAAGTTCATTGTCATAGTTCATTGTCATAAGTTCATTGTCATAAGGTGGGGCACCACTCGCCTGTAAGCCTTGATGATGATATTCCTGAGCTCAGGTCGATCCAGGAGCCACTGAGCATTCCAGAGGTCCCCGAAATTCCCTGAGAAAAACTTGAGAACCTGCACCGAACTGGGCGGGTCGTGATTGTCACCGTGGACCAAGACGTCACAAGCCAGGGCCAGGTGTCGATACCCGGACTCCACGTCCTCGTATTCGTCCTCCTCCGAGGCGGGATCTTCCTCCCCGGATTCCTTCCTTCTTTGCTTCCATCTTTCTCGCAGACTCTGCCACATTCGACGGTGAACAGAATGGAACCAGTCGGAGGGGAACAGAGCGTTGTGTGACGTTATGGCTCGTTCCTCCACTGGGATCTTGTGCCAGTCTGAAGGCAAGGCGAAGATGCTTCGTTTGCCCTTGTCCTCTCCTTCGTTCGGCGAGGGCGCTTGTATGGGAGGGAGTCTTTCCTTGTGTTCCTTTGCCATCGCTTGCTTCGACCTTTGTTCGTCTTCGGCCAACAGCTCGTCGATCCAGGTCTGGTCGTCCTTAACCCTCAAAGGTGGAAGGGTTCTCGATTCCCTCGAGTCGTCGTGGGGGCCTTGGGGGTGGAGGCGGTGGGCCCAACGACCTTCGTCTTTGGACTCCATGGTCTTGAGGACCACCACCTCGTTCTCCACATCTGGGGCTAAGTGCACCGGCTTTTCGGGCTCCTCTTCTGAGAAGACAAGGCGACCTTGTCATGCCTGATTTTCCGTAACTTTTTAAAGCGATATCTGTCTTTTAGTTTTCTACAGGTACTTTGTACCTGTAGAAAAGTCATATATGCACAAAACTCGGGCTATGGTTTTCGTCGATGAGAATGAAACCATCTCTTGCTTTCGTACATCTACTCACTTAACAAATTTACAGTGCTTCTCAGTGAGTTTCGCACGTCTTGCAGAATGCTAGGAACAAGCGGCAAAATGCTCCGCACCCTCAAATAGGTTCGCTCGCGTTGCATCATGTTTCGTACCACCTGCCATACCTGTGCAGCTCAGAAAGGCAAGGCCGCCTGGCAACCCTGATGGGAATCGTGTCCTTGAGACATGACCTTGAGACATGACCTTGAGACAACAGTGGCGTCACAAAGCCTCTCGTGGATGGTATTCGTCAGTTTCGCGCTTGGCGCCCAGGAGAAAGAGGATTACTTCTGACGCAAATCATATCATTATTTGGTATTTCATCAATAAGAATTCCTAAGTGTGGAACTCCTTTTCCATCTACTAACAACTCTTTCCATGGAGTACTTCAGAGCAATCCGTGAATCTGGGCGCTCGATATCCATCCATTCTAAAGACTATCCACAATCTATGCATTCCTCTCTCCAAGGGTTGTCAGATGGATTCGTCATTCAGAGTGGCACTTACTCGTCGGGCGAGTACGAAACATTATGCAACGTGTGCTGATCATTTTGAAGGGAGTACGAAGCAATATGCCCCTCGTGCGTAACATTATGCGGCAGGTACGAAAGCCAAAGGGAAACACTGTACTCTAGTAGAACTTCTCCGCACGGGGAAACACTTTCAGAAGGCCTGATGATTCTCTGATCCTCCCCCGAACCTCAAACTCAAATAAATAATTCAGACGCCTCACCCATCTGATACTGCCTCGAGCGCCCGTCCCCTTCCGCCAGACTCTTCCCAGTCCCGCTCGAATCCTTAGCAGGGGAATCCACCGAACCAATCGGCTCGAACACCGTTCTCCTCCAGTCCTCCCACCGCGTGTCGAGGCAGTGCCGCATGAGGACCCAGACGATGGTCTTGATGAAGGACTCCCTGATCGCCCTGAGGACCTCGGGCGAGTCGATGACCCCGGTCAACACGTTTCTCACGTCGGAATAGGCCTTGACCGGGATCTCGCACAGCGGCGTCAAGGTGTGACAGGCGTATCCGTTGATGCAGTCCTCTGCGTCGAAGGCGTTCTGAAAGATGGAGTCGACCCTCGTCGCCTCGACGGCGTGGCACGACGTCTCCTGCAGTTCCAGGCCCTTGAACACCCATCGAACGTATCCGTTCCCCATTTCGGATAAGACGACCCAGATGAGGCGGTCCTCGAAGCGCAGGAGGAAGAATTCGTTGGACATGATGTAGCCTGAAGGCACGCAGAAAAAATATGCCTCATTAGGTACATGTAGGATAAGTATAGGAAAAGTCAGTCCGTCCAATACCAGGACTTATGCAATCCAGGGCAATTCGCTTTGAGTCTACACGATTTTTCTGTTATCCTCAGAACTGAAGGCAAATAGAACAAGAAGTCTTTCCGCGGTGGAAATCTTCAGTTAAACTTAAAAACACGATTAGTGCCATCTACGCCCGCGGCAGCTATTCACAAAGGCTTCATATTGGTATTGATATTGGTATCGGTCTTGGTATCGAAGGGGTCAAGGCCGAGGAACGAGCGGAACCGACAGACCGAGAGAGCCAGCGAAGAAGGCCCTGGTGAGACCGGGCGCAACGCTGGGAACGGCCTGCTCGTAGAAGACGCTGTCCGAGGAATTCCGCACCGGACCAGAGGCGAAGGAATCCGGCCAGATCCGAGACGGACGGGGGAATCCCATCAAGAAGATCGGCAGCGTGAACAGGGGGAGGAACGGGGCCGAGAGGAGGCACGACGCACCCAGCACCATCAGGATCACCGGGAACATCGTCAGGTTGATCACTTGGGGAAAGAATGACGTCGTGTAAGGGAGGCATGGGGACCGTGCAAGGGAGGCACGGGGACCGTGCAAGGGAGGCATGGGGATCGTGCAAGGGAGGCACGGCGACACGCGTGGAAATGACAGCACCGATAAGAAATAGTCGCTGGCCGAATCTGCTGCTCGTGACGGATATTTTAAATCTGATTTATTCAGCATGCAAATTACTTTGTAGCGCACAAACAAGAGGGTATGCCAGCAATAAAGAACAGAGAAAATTCTCCGGCATTGTCCGTCATCGACCTCACGGAGAAAGAACGGAATCAGACGGGAATCCAACTTTTCGAGCCAATAAATACGGAAAAGGGCCGATTGCAAGTTTTCGCCATTTTATCGTCGCATGTAGCTCAGAAGCAACGCGCGAAAAAATGTCCATAATTAGCTCTCCTCGAACGCAGTTCGCGAATTAAGTTCTCGCGTGCCCCTCATCGCGTGCATCGATTGAGAAGAACTTCCGAGAGAACGTTCTCGTCGCCCATGAACTCCATGCCTGCCCGGCTCAGAAATTTTCTCGCGGAAAAGGAACTCCGGTACTGCACCGAATGAGTAATCAAATATACACGAATTCCTGCAATTCTGTTTGCCGTACTCCTCGGAAAGGATCACGGAAGCAACACTGCGGAGCACGCAACACTGCACGCAACGGAATATGTACGGCCCGCATAGTGCGCAGATCCTCACCGCGGATCGTGCAGATCCTCACCGCGGATCGTGCAAATCCTCACCGCGGATCGTGTCGTCACGGCCGCAGCTCGGCGAAGCTGGCCGGGCTCGTATTCGCAGTTTCTGGTTTCGTGTACGTTCATCTAAATTCGTAACGAATTCATCGAAACATTTAACGAACTGGGACAAAAATAGAAGTTCTGCGAATCTGCGAATCTGCGAATCCGTCTGTCGGCACCGTCGCGACGACCAATCGTTCCCCGAAAAACCCGGCGCGAGATGGAGCCCACGCGGTCGCAGCGGGGAGAAAAGGGACAGGGAATTCATTTCCACTGAATGAATTCCCTGTCCCTTTTCGCCACGGTTTCCTTTTGGTTTCTCACACAGATCTCAGAGGAAGGCAATCGAATTCCTTTAAAAAGTTTCTCTGAAGACGTAACGGTGTCGCGGAATAACATCGAAAAGAACAGCATCGACACGGAACTGCTTCGACACGAACAACGTCGACACGGAAGTATCTCGACATGAGAAAATCCTGTCGAGATAATTCCGTGTCGGCGCTGTTACTTTCGATGTTGTTCCGTGTCGGTATAAATCCGAAAGTGATCTGTCGAAGCAAATCTGTTTCGGTCTATTTCTGTCGACGTATTTCCGTGTCGATGCCATACTACACCATACACTTTTGAGAAATGTGCTGAGTTGGATTTGTTTTTTCTGAAACTTCGGTGTGAAATTAAATCATATGGCATGATTTGATTGCGACATCACTTGATGTCGCAAAAATGAATGCGTCTTTAATCTGACGTGAACGTAACAGGGTGGCACTTTTTCGCCTTTGCCAATCCTTTGAGTGTCATTTCCAGGTGACTTTTTTTTCCTAAACCCGTATAAATGAACGCCTTGATAATTGTCCCCCTTCACCCCAATACCGCAATCCCGGTTTTATTTTTTAAATGGTTACATTCATAAAATTATCTCAAGTTGAAAGTGTTGCGATATTATGGAACCTTTTTGTCCCAGATTAATAAATTATTCGAAGAGCATTTAGGACATTTTTATGTACTTTGCAAGTACAGTATGAGTGNTCGGTTTTATTCCGAGTAGCAATTTTGTCGAGGTAATTCCGTTCGATGCTGTTCCGTGTCGAGGCACTCACTGTCTAGCTTATTCCGTGTCGATGCATTTCCACTTCGGTGTTGTTCTGTGTCGACTTTTTTCCTGTCGATGTTATTCTGTGTCGATATTATTCCGTGTCGCTTCTTTTCTGTGTCGGCGTTATTCCGTTTCGGCACTATTCTTTTCGGCGTTATTCCTACCCACCGCCCTTTCCACGAAAGACATCGGAATGTCACGAATGTCACGGGAATGTCACGGGAATGTCACGGAATGTCACGGGAATGTCACGAATGTCACGGTGCCTCCCGAGGGAGAACAGGCGACATGGCTCGATGAAAATTTTTTGACTGGCTTGAAAACGCCGTGCCAATTTCGACTGCAATAATTTGCAAAGTAAACTGAATCTGCTATCCATTTTTTTTTGCATACGCATTTAATCGTAATCTCATTAAATGCGTAGTACAAATACGCAATGAGAGCAGATTTTTTTCTTCTGAGTCTTCCTTACGAATGATAATTCTTTCGACGCCAGTAAGAAATCCATCCGCTCACAGTGCTTGCAAATGGTTCAACCTACTGCAAAATGGTTCAACCTACTGCAAAATGGTTCAACCTACTGCAAAATGGTTCAACCTACTGTAAAATGGTTCAACCAAATTGTAAAATAGCATTTCAGAGCCTTTCGCGCATGAATTTCCGCTCTCTCGCCGGGAAGCAGAGAGCGACGCGGCAGTTTGCGCACGGCGTCACGCACAGCCGCTGCTGGATCTCGCCGCGGAATAGTTTCACGCCTTTATCGTGGCATTTTGAGAACGCCAAAATTTAAAATAATTATATATGGTCGCTGCCGGCAGTTACCATAGCAACAACTTCCGTAGCCGACAATGCCTCATTGTCGGTCGTGAGCGCTTCGTCCGGGAAGGACGAAGTACGAAACGCCATCCTCATCGCCTCAAAATTTTCGAAATTTCGGCTCAATAACTATCGCCACCAAGTTAGAAGCTTTCAATTGACACCAATGGCATTAAAATGAGAGGAGGAATTTGGAACCAGACGGAAGCAGGTTCCCGTCTCGAGAAACTCACTATTTACATTCTTTTTTGGAACAAGATCCAGCGAGTTCTGTCTCGTGGCAATTCTAAAGCGACACAACTTTCGAATTTCGAACAGTTATAAGGGAATGCGTTCCGTATAATGCTCAAAAGAGGCATAAGATGGCGCTTATGATCCCCGAACATTCGAATCCGAGCCAGGGATCAGGTCAGGTCAGGTCAGGTCAGGTCAGGTCAGGTCAGGTCGTCAGGTCAGGTCAGGTCAGGTCAGGTCAGGTCAGGTCAGGTCAGCTCTGGAGGCAGCGAAGGCAGAGACATCTACATGCACTCTATGGCTTCACCCGATAAGTACCGCTTCAAGGTCATGAGCTCTCGATCGATTACTAAATCAATCATTAAAAAAATCCCACAATAAAAAATGAGTCGAACTCACGAAGAACACAGCTGCCATAAGACTTCCTCTTCTTAGAACTTGAGATGGTCCTCATGAGGATGAACCAGACGTATAGCTTGTTGAGCGCCTGCCCCGCCCTGTCCCTCAGCAGCGACACGGCGACGAGCTTGGAGAAGAACATCTCAGGCTGCCGGTAGAAGATGGCGCAGTGGAGGAGGAATTCCAGCTGGAAGGCTCGGGGGTTCTGCCACACCTGGGGGAACGCAATGTTCGTTCGGTGGGGGTTCAGTGCGAGAGGGGGTGGGGGGTGGGGGGGAGGGGGGAAGGGGGGAGGGGGAGAGGGTGGGGGTGGTCGTACCCATCGGAGTGTTCGGCAGAGGCCGATCGTTTCCAGGTACCAGGACAAGTTTCTCGTCTGCCCTGGTGAAGCTGAGATTTGTGTCTGGTAGACGCCAGCACAAGCAAACACGGCAAGCAAGCTCAAGGCTACAAATTAAAAAACGCAATTTGCATTTATCTCTTGTTTTCGAGAGAGACTACGGAATCGGGCATGCCGTGCCGATTGCCTGCAGGATGCTTACATCTGGTGAGGAGGAGCTGGACGGAAGCGATGGAGAAGCAGCCGCCGGGTTTCCGGATTTTCATCAAGTTGTAGAAGTTGTTGCGGAAAATCCCCGCGAGGCTGAAGACTTTCGCGATCTCGTGCAGCGCCGCGGACGCGACGAAGGCCGCCAGCGCCCCGGCCGCGAGCTCCGTCAGGGGCGCCGACGCGGCCGCGGGCCCGAGCCGGCTCGCGAGCCACGCCGCGAGGAGGCACGCGGCCAGCCAGAGGCCGTGGACCGGAGGAGCGCTGAGGAGCAGGGACCAGAGCGTCGGCTTCTCCGTCCAGCCGCGGCATATTCCGTTTTTCTTCATCGAGGTCCATGCACCCTCTGCCAATAATAAAAAATGTCAATAGGTATTTTAAAATAAATATTCAAAAGGGATTTTAAAATAAATATTCAATAGGTATTTTAAAATAAATATTCAATAGGGATTTTAAAATAAATATTGAATAGGTATTTTGAAGTAAATATTCAAGTTCATTAAATTTTAAAAATTCGTTGCACGAAAATAAATTTAAACCTGGGTATTTTTCAATTCTGAAATTACGAAATTAACCAAATATTTGTAAAATAATTAGGAATCAAAAGTGCGAAACTTAGAAACAAAATGGCAATCACAATATAAATGGTAAAGGTTTCATTTCGCCATTACCCTGTATTCCAGCGGCATTCAAAGTGCGGCCCGCGGGCCGCACGCGGCCCACTAAGAGCATCGAATAATCGACTTCTTCACTTTTTATCCGTTTTACCCGCACTCAAAAAAAAATCGTGAACACTTTTTTAAATTCCAGATTTAGAATTCTTCCCTGAAAACGAGAAAGTTTAGTCATTTTTTTTTTAGATATTCCGAAACTTGTTAAACATTTTTTAATGCTTATGTATTTAGTAGGGCTGTGGCAGTTTTCTAAACATCGATGCATCGACCTGAACTATCGATAGTCTATCGATACATTCTGGGGGGGGGGGGATTATCGATTATCGATAATCCATTGATGGATGCATCAGGACAGCCCTAATTTTTTTTCATTGTTATATTTATCAGTTGCCCAACCGGCGGTTATAAGCGAATAATTAAATATTATGAAATAAATTATTAATAATTAAATAAGGAACGTCCCAGTAAAAAATTCGTTTCGAGTTCAAAGAGATAAAATTCCCCAGGGCGAGTTTAAAATTTTTAAAAAGTTAAGTTTTAAAATCCTCGGTCTTCTCTCTCTCTCCTTTCCCGCTTCCTGTCTCCGATGTTTTTTTTTTTATCGTTTGCCGATACACCGCGATGGTCGAAAAAAATATCGATACCTCCAATCATCGATAGAGGTATCGATTTATCGATCTATCGAGACGGTCCAAGTATTGAGATGTGCACCTGGCCTAAACTTTCCTAAAATTCAGAGCATCCATGAACTGCAGAGAAAAATTTTCTTTTCCCGCAAGTAAGTGAAGTAAGGGAGAAATATATATATTTATTGAAAACGCGATTTGTAACAGAGCAGCATTTAAAAAAATTTTAAATAAAAAAAATTTTAAATAAAAAAAATTTTTCATTTTCAATTCATTTTTTAAATTGGACTTCCTGGTTTAGAGTGGCGAGACCAAGAGTTCGACGGCCAGATAAAGGGTTAACCACGCAGGAGTGTTGGGTCTCTGTCAATGCGGCCCAGTGCGGCCCACGAGGCCCTCGCCTTAAAAAGTTTGGGGGCCGTATACGCTGCGTAATCCGAATTTGCGGGAGAATCCGAACCGAGGTCAGTGCTGAGGAGATATCCGGAGGCTGCCGCGAAAATGACTCGATGAAATGAGGACGCGAGGAGGAGGACGGGGACGAGGGAGGCGGCGCCGAGGAGGAGTTGGAGGAGGGTCCTGAGGTTGGAGCGAGGCGTGGGGCCGCCGAGGGCGAAGACCAGGGTCTGCTCGGCGGCCCAGAAGAGGCCGGCTTCGAGGGGGGAGAGGACGCCCATCATCCAGAGGAAGGGGAGGCTGATGAATGCGTCCATGAGGAGGCGTCGGGAGAGGCTCGTGTTCAGACTCGAGAGGTGACTTGAATCTTCGGCGATCCTGGAATGGTTAAATAATTTATATAATTATCTGGAGGAAGTTTTTAGAACGTGATAACGTGGAAGACGTGACGAAATCTCGTACGTTTCGAGGGCTAGTTCGGCGAGAAGGGGGAGAGAGGCATGGACGGCTCGTGACATTTGGTTGATGTCCCATCTATCGAGGGGTCGGAAGGTGGCCAATTCCGACGGCGGCATCCCCAGTAACGGATGGACGGTGATGCAGACCGTGAGCCACCCGAAGACCAAGATGAAATACGCCTCCAACGGCGTCTACGACAAATGCATCGTGGAAGAATTATCAAAGAAACTCGCCGGTGGGGGGCAGGGGGCGAGGGGGTGGGCGAGGGGGGGCGAGGGGGGGCGGACTCACATTGAAATTGAGTTTGAGAACTCTGGGATCCAGGAGCTTGGTCGCCAGGCCGCAGACGAGTCCACCGGCGAGGCAATGGAGGATGTGCACCGGGAAGAACCTCCTCGGCACCAACACCTCCCAGGTCTTCCTGGAGCAGATCCCCGGGAAGGCGACCTCCCCCTCCCGGGAAGGAGGCAGAACGTCGCGCGGCGAAGGCGCCACTCGCTTCCGACGTCCGGACACCCACACGAACCAGTGCGCCAGCAGGATCACCGCGAACGTTGTTCCGCCGGAGACCAGAGAGGCCATCGCGGTCGGAAGACTCACGGACATCGGCACGGAGACCAGAGCCGGCCACACCAGGAGCAACACCTGAATCAAGTGCACGTGATACGGCACCTGGAATCCCCACTTGAACCGGGCCCCCCCCAGGGCCGTGGCCAAGAGCCGTCGGAAGACGAACTCGTGCTTGTACTCGTTCAGCAGCGGGGCATCCATCGCGGCCGGAGCCCATGTACGAGGCACCATAACATCCCCATCTACGCGCGTCCGGCACACACACACACACACACACACACACACACACACACCGCGCGAGGTCTGCCGGTGTTGTGAGATCGATGGTTGCTGTGTGAGGGTCGCATCGATCCCGTCGTCCCTCTACGATTCATTATTAACGTATCGCGTGATCCTCCTATCTCTTTTCCCTCTCGCTCACGCGCTTCTAATCCACTTTCTGTCCTTTCTTCGAGTGCGACCGTGAAAGGTTCCGTCGAGTCCGAGAGCCGATTCGTTGCCGTGAGATCTCGGAAGTCGGAAGACGGCTTCCGGAAGAAGTCTTCGAGCGGCTGAGGTTCGAAACTTCGAGCGGATCGTAATGTCTGAGGGCCACGCGTCATGAAAAAATTAGAGGGCTGGTGACGTCATTGATTTTCCCGGGAAACGATCTCATTGCATTCTGCGATCGTCGTAGCAGGGAGGAGCAGAAGGGAGGAGCAGAAGGGAGGAGCCGAAGGGAGGAGCAGAAGGGAGGAGCCGAAGGGAGGAGCAGAAGGGAGGAGCAGAAGGGAGGAACAGAAGGGAGGAGCAGAAGGGAGGAGCAGAAGGGAGGAGCAGAAGTCCCTTGAATTTGTGATGCGATTCTGCGGATGGCCTCATGGCGACTCGAGGCGAGGAGCCGTGTCGGCGGCGGGGAGGGGTTCACTGGCTCCTGTGAGGGAAACTATGAGGGCATTGCGATAAATAGTTCCGATGTGGATTAGAAGGCGGACAGGGGAAATTTTGACTTCGTGGAACGTTCTGGAAAGTTCCATGAAGTCTCTTTCAATGATGGAGCTCTCATCGCTTTTGCGTGAACTCTTCGGACTCTCCGAGAGAACAGAGCCGAAACGAAAAGGGGAAAAATCTGGCATCTCGACGGGCTCGAAAGGAGATGGGAGTTCATCTCGAACGCCTCGATCCGTGTGTCCACTCACGCACTGGGCATACGCGCTGTTTCACGCACGGCGTGAAGAGGGGGGAGGGTTGCCGCAACCTCGTCGGTCGCGTCTGGCGACTTCGCGAGACTCGAATAAACGGCGAATCCCATTCTTCGAATGAGACTGCTATTGCACGAAGACTGTACTTGCTGAGAATCCTTGCGACTTTGGGCTTCACAGAGGGGATTACGAGCAGTCCTTCAGACTTGCCTATACGCGGGAGACATCTATCGAAAGGAGAAGGAAGTGCGACATTCCTTTTTTCGCCGATTGGAAGATTCTGGTGTCCCAGCAGCTCTTGGAGCGCACTCGTAAGGGTTAAAAAAAAAAGTTAAGGTTTTGATTGAGGGATTGAAGATCTTTTCCGTTTATTGTCTTGTCTTGTGTTGTCTTGTCCGTTTGAAAGCTGGATATGGGGAATTCTGCTCTTTTTTGAGGTTCCTTTGAGGTTCGTGAAGATGTGAGGGCTGGTGTGGCGAATTCGTGGCTGCTCTGATGATCACGTGTGCCGGGGCCAGTGGGTCGACGGATCGAGTGATTTCTTTTAAATCTAGGGGGACGAGAGAACAACCAGAAAAAAAAAATTTGGAAGAACTTGGGCAGTTGAGAAAGTAAGGTGAAAATTTTTAAAGAGATATATGCATGGAATAATCTGGCAACACTGGCGCACGAGTCGATCAAACTGCCTCGACACGAGGGAAAATCGCGAGGAACAAATTTCCCCGTCGAGTTCGACTGGATTGGAGAGTTTCCGGAAGAAAAATTGGGCTAAAAACAAGAGAAAAATGAAAATGGACTCTGAAAGTCGTTTTACTCTAATCGTTTTTACGTTGTTTACGTTACGTTGTTATTAGATGATAATAGAATAACGAGAAATAATTCATGGCACGCTTTCCTTCTCGGAAGAACGACAAATATTATTAAATATATATATTATATTATTAATGGAAATCGACATCGCCTGCCGGCTGGCATGCGTCATCAATCCCTGTTGCCTAATTGCGAGCCTGCATGCACTTGTTCGGGCTTGATGAGGGTCGTTCGCGGCGGGGCTCCTTCGCGATTGGGGACACTGTGGCAATGGCAGTGCCATTATACTATGATTGTACTGTACTACATTATATATAATATAATATTATAATATATAATATTATAATAGTACTACATTGTACTATAATATTATATTGCACTGCTGAAATAAAGCTCCCCCGAGAATTAACTTGGTGTTTTTTTTAGTTGGAAGAAAACAACAGAAACTGGAGGCTTCTTTTGACGTTAATTGAGTAATCCCCCATAGTCTGACCGAGTCGTGGAAGTTACGGCGTAACTACAATGTTTATAGATATCATGTTTATATATTTATGTCCTGGGGAATCGTACATACGTAGCACTGGGATGGGTCGCGTGCCATCGATTTCCAGCACGCTCGAGATGCCCTTGATGCAGAAATTGCCAGAAAGCTACGATAAGCATTATCGTCGAAAGTGCGGATGAACGAAAGCGGGCTTCTTCCGACTTCTTCTTCTTCTTCTGAGTCTCATCCCGAAGGCGAAACTCGTCACCGTCGCAACCCCGGCTCGTCTGCCGTCGTGAGGCCCTGCCCCCTGCAGGAGGCGCTCGTGCGTGTTGACGTCATCAACTGGATGACGTCATCAACTGGACAGCGTCTGATGGTGCGGAGTCCAGGGAGGAGGTGCGACTGGGGCTTTGCTACTTCAGGGCTCGGCATGGTCGTTCGTACGAGCGAGTTGGAAGGATCTCGTCCGTGTGAGGGTAGTGGGTAGGTTGTCCACTGGGTTTAGGATGGGCGTTGGCAATGTTCACTTCTGGTGTTCTGTTCTTCACGAAATGGGGAGGCTGCGAATACGGAGATACGGACCGATTAATGCGGATCTAAATGTGCAGGGCGTGACGGTGCGATGGCACTCCGTTTGTTTTCAAAATGGGATTTCGTGTCTGAATTCATCGTAAAATTCCTCATATATGTCAAACGAATCTGAGTTTTTATTGCTGCCATTCGTTGCTGGCACAGTTTTGAGCTGGTTGGGGTAGAAACACAAAAGAGAGGATTAAAAAATTTGGCTGTTCTCTCGCGAATTCTCAGCAGTTTTGGGATTCCCAAGCAGCCCAGGGGGCATCTCCTTCCATTTGTGCAGAGTGGCGGCAATATAAAATGCAGGGTCGCATTATTAGAATGCAGAATTTTACCTGGAATTTAAAAATGTTATGCATTTTTGCTCAGTATCGCTGTGTACAGAGGTGACAATTTTTTGTAAGCATCCTGTTACGTGGTCATGACCACGGTGGGAATATTTAGACTAAATTGAATTGCCCCTCTCGTCCTAATAAAACCTGCCTTCCTCAAAAATATTGGAAAAGCAATGACTCTCACAGGATGGCAGGCCAAATTCGCGAAGGGGTGCAATCGTAGTGGGTTCAGAGTCCATCCTAAATGTTTGATAAGGAAAATGTCACGCTTGATGACAAGATAGAGATTAATATTACGGATGGATCGACAGAGCAGCAGGTGCCAATTTGTAACCATTTACCACACGGAGATTCCCACGCCCTGTCTGCTTCCTCAAGCATTCGGTGAGCCCGATATGATGATCAAGTGCATCTGCCCCCCCCCCCCCACCCCCTTCCCCCCCCACCCTTCAACGCCCTCCACACCCCGCTTATTCCAGACCAGTGGTCGTTCCCGATGGCTCGTTCCAAGAGGCAGGGTGAGGAGTGACGCCAGGTCTTCTCCCTTCCAGTCCACGTGGATCATGGTAGGATGCTACGATGCCGCATAACGAGTACATAAGCCTCTTCAGCATATTTTATGCGGAAACGTTCATGTAGGGAGAAATTACTTACAATTTTTTTTTCAATTGATTTCTTTGTGTTTAGTTCATGTGACGTGGTCTCCATATTTTTAAATGTAATGAGTTAAATTTAATTCTAAGACCTTGAGTTTGCAGAAGTATGAGAAAAGCAAGAGGATCTCCCTCATAGTGTGAAAGTCTCAAAAGCACTCAAACCTCTGGTCAGTCAGAGTAATGCATTCTTCGAAGGTTCCCAAGAGGCGATACGTCCTCATCATATTGCTCGGATCAATCCATCCGAGAATGGCATCGAATCCGAACGGGAATCCTGGCACGCTTCGCGATTGTTCTCAAAATGCCGACTGCCCTCCCGATTTCGTTTGTGTCCAACAGAAGTGCAAATGTGATCCAAGCCTTCAGAACCCAGGAAACTCCAATTGCAGAGGTAATCGTTTTTCTCTCGTCGACGGAAAAGAAGCACGATCTCTCGGGAAAACTCTCGGTGTAGACATCTTCCTACTTAGTGCTAGAGAACATGGGAACCCTTGCGCTTGGGAATTGTATCTTAATTTTAAGGTAACATTGGAATGCGTGGGATGATGGAGAGTTTGTCCCACAAAAAAGTATGTAATTTCTTATCCGTTGCTCTTGTGTTGTCCGTTGCCAATGTTATCGGCGTTTTATGCAACAAGTCAGGTACTCAAATGCTCAAAGGTCAGTGTCCAAGCGCAGAGTCGTATTTTTTTCGGAACTTGAAAACATTGAAGAACTTTTTTTTAAGAATAAAAGCTGGAACCCACGATACCAAGCGCGTAATTGGTTAGAATTTTGAACTTAAATTCGCTCCGTACGACAACGAAACTACCAAAGAATCGAAAACTAAAATTTGAAGCAGATATAAAAAGGAAAATCTTACAGCCCACTTTTAAAACTTTGTTTTTAGCCCCGAATCCGGCAGTCGGCAACAACGTGGAACCAATAGCCTCATCAGAAACGAAGACAACTGGAATAGCGACTATGAAAACAACACCGCCCACATCATCGACTGACAAACAAACCATCCACGCAACTACCACATCTGCAATGATGCCCCCAACAGCAACAACACAAACGATATCCATTAGCAGAGACACGACCACCACCGGCATCAGATTCACCCTCGCCACCACTCCCATTAACGCAGCTCCCATTAACGCAGCTCCCATTAACGCAGCTCCCATTAACGCCGCTCCCATTAACG